CATCAGAGAGAAAGATGAAGATGATGATAAAATAATAGCTCACCCATAGAGGGTGCTTTCAGCTCTCAAGGCCTCAGCATTTATTAGTGACCTGGTGGCTTTCTTTGGAAGTGCTGGCAGGGGCACTTCACCAACCTGTTTCCCACATGCTTTGGGACACTGCCAGCTGTCTGCAGCTCTGACCTTTGGGTGAGATCTCTTGGCATTGGGGAGAATGAAGAGGTGACTCTTCCCTTTCTAGAGGTCTTAAACATGTTTTAAAACATTTTTAAACAAATTGTACCATATTGCAGAAAATTTAGAAAATAGCACAAAGAAAAAAAAAAATCCTTATTTTTTTTACCATTTAACCCCGTTATCAAAATTCTGCTGCATTGACTTTCAGCCTTTCAGCGTCTGCATATTTTTTACAGAATTTAAAAATTGTGATGTGCATTTCATTCTTGCCTTCTGCTGTTCCTCCTCCCCACTAATGATATTGCCTAAGCATTTTTCTATGTTGCTACATAATCTTCCAATGAATTCTCAAACTGGAGAGTGTCAATGTGTGAGTGGAGGGAAGGGGTGTCTAGTACTGAGGTGGTGGCTTTGGAATGATCTTAGGAGGCCCTCGTTTTCTGTGGGGATGAAAGATGCTAACCTTGCCTTTCTCTGTTCCTCCCACAGGTGGCTGCCCCCTGCATTCCTCCATCCAACCATGAATTGGTGGTGAGTGACAGTCCATTCCCTACCCTGCCAGCCCCTCCTCCCCTCTTCCCTCTGCTCCCAGCTGCAGCTTACTTCAGATCCAAGCATGCTGGCAGCCCCCAAGGGTGCTGGGTAATTAGGTAAGGGGAAGGAGGGGGCCTTGTTCTGAGGCTGAAGCTGGACTGGGAGGAAATGAGTCATGAGGTCCCTTCTGATGGGATGCAGGGCCTCCTATTTCAATCTGGAGACTAAAGTCCTTGGAAAAAACCATAAAAGGCATCTTGCCTGTCTCTAGGGCTGGCCAGGTGCCTGTTGTCCTGGCACTTACAGGACTAGGGGATGACATCTCCTCCCACCCGTCTGGTCCTGGATCTGGTACCCTTGGGGTGGAGGCAGGGGGATGGATGGATGGCATGACCCACAGAATTCATCTACCTGGGCAGTTGCTCTCATTCAGGTAGCCTGTTCCACCTCCAAATTTTTTGTCTGATTCTGCTTTTCTGCTCTCTCTCCATGTCCCCCACTCCACCCTCCCTTCCGTAATGGGACTTCCAGAAAAGCATGGATGGGGCAGGGCTCCTGTGAGTTGTGGGCTGTGGAGAGTAGCCTGCTGCAGACTGATGCCAGCTGGGTGGATTTGGCATGTTGGGAGCTTTTCCCTCCTGCCCTCTCACTGCCTTCTTACCCTTTAGAGGTCTCTTCTGCTCTTCACCCACTGCTGGAGGTGGGCAGGGCCCTGGAGTCTGGGGGGAGGAGGTCTGCATGCCTGCGGGTGTATGTGTGTGCATGTCTGTGCGTGGGGGGGCCTGTCATGGAGGGCCCCTGTGATCACAATTTGACCCACTGGTGCGGAGGGGCAAGTGATGACACTGATGTGGGTGGGGATCTGGGGGAGAGGCAAGGGTGTTACAGAGCCCAGGCAGTTGCAGGTGTCCGCACACCTGTGCGGTGACCTGCTCAGCCTGGATACTGGTCTCTTCTCTTCCAACACCCATTTGCCATGTAACAGTGGTCCTGTCCTGCCCTCTTTCTGGACATCAGTTTCCCTTTCTGTCAGAGAGATGATTGAACTAGATGCTCGAAAGGCCTTCTCAGTGCTGATAAGTATTCCCTCCATTCAGATTGGTAATGCTATAAAATAAAAGTATGGGAAAGTGCTTGTGACTTAGATGCCTCCAGACCCAGTGCAGTGCCATCGCATTCTGCACTTGGGCCCCGGGCCCTGCTGAGAAGTTCCCTTCTTTGCAGGGCCCCTCCTCCCTGGTCTCACAGGGCTCAAGTCCTTCTGGGCCTCAGCTCTGCCCAGCTGTTCTGCTCCAGATGTGGGGTGTTATTTGCATAGAGCCCAGTTGAAGGTCATCTGACAACAGTGGGGGTTGTGGGTGGGGTGCGCTGTGGGTGCTGCAGAGATGAGGCCAGAGTGCAGGCCTCATTTGGAGCCACCAGTGAGCAATCTCTCTGGGATTTTGGAGAGACACTGTGGAGGGCAGGTGGGAGGGGTGAGGTGGGGTGAGCAGACCTTTCATCAGTCCAACCCAACTGATTTGCCCCTGAGAACAGAATGTCCTTGGCTGGTCTAGGATGACTGGTGTCTGGGGTTTAGGGCTCTCCAGGCGGAAGCCAGATGCCTGGCCACTGGGAGTCTCGTGAGCTTGGTTTATGTGAGGAAGGATCAAGGGTTGGGACAAGAGTGAATGGTTGACATTCCAGCTGGTGGGGTTGCAGTTACTACCAGAAGGGGCTCCAGCCTGAGCGAGGCCCTGGAATCTTCTCATCTCTGTGATGTGCCCCACCTGTGCCCTTCACAGAGGTTGGCTCAGCCACCTGGTGGTGAAGTGGCTGTGACACAAGATTGTGCTCCCAGAGGTTCCTCCACTTGAGTCAGAACTGATCCCCAACAGTGGTCTAGAGGAGTTCGACCACCTCCCTATGGATCCTAGTTCCCTAGTCCCTGGAAATATGGCCTTGACACATTGTATAACCTCAATTTCCCTTCTGCAGATTGGGAGTTAGAAATAGTACTTAACTTTGTAAGGTTAAGAGAATAAAAGGAGCAATTAACCTGTTTAATTAATGCATATTCAGAACCCTCCAATGCCTGCCATGGCACTTGGAGTAAAAGATCGAGGTTCTTCCATTGGCTTGCACAGCCCTAAAGGACAGCTTTCCTCTCTGACCTCATTTCCTTCCAGAAGCTCTCTCGCTGCTTGCTCTGCTCCAGCCACCTAGTCCTTCTTGCTGGTCTTTGAACATACCAGTCAGGATGCTGCCTCAGGGCCTTTGCATTTGCTATTCCTTCTGCCTGGAATGCTTTTCCTGCAGATACCTTCCGGGCTCTTTCCTTCCCTCAGCTCTTACTCAAGTGTCAGCATTTTCCTTTCCCCAACAACCCTATCTCTCTCCCTGTTTTCTTTGCCCCCCCCCCC